GAGGCTTCAAACACTTTGAATGCTATTGTCTCATCAAACACGTTCATGGTCAATGTACCCTTCTTCACATCAATAATAGCACCGGCAGTTGCCATGAATGGCCGACCTAGAATGAGTGGTAACTGATTGTCATGAATTGGTGCTTCTTCCATTTCCAACACCAAGAAATCTGCTGGCAAAATTAGCTCTTCCACTTTCACCAAAACATCTTCTAGAATGCCTTTAGGGTACCTAATAGTTCTATCTGCCAATTGAATGCTCACAGATGTGGCTTGCAACTCACCAAGGTTAAGTTTTTCATAAACATGATATGGCATAAGGTTTATAGAAGCACCAAGATCAAGCAAAGCTTTTTGAAACTTAAAATCACCAACTATACAAGGTATAGAAAATGAACCTGGATCCTTTAGCTTTGGAGGTAGCTTTCTTTGTAACACTGCACTTACCTCTTCACTCAATGCAACTTGTTCATGCTCTTTGAATCTCCTCTTGTTAGTGCATAGATCCTTCAAAAATTTTGCATACTTTGGAATCTGAGCAATGGCATTGAGCAATGGGATGTTGATTTGCACCTTCTTGGATGTTTCCATTATCTCATCCAAGTCTTGATCTTTCTTTGACTTTGATAACCTGCTGGGAAAGGGTGCAATAGGCCTAAAAGCATTAGTTGAAATTGGAACTTGATTAGCATTAGATGATACCTTAGGGCCTGTGCTCTTTCCTGGAGCATTGAGGGGCTGTTTGTTGGAAGCTGTGGGCTGCCCATGTGGTGGCTGAATGATCTCCACGTTTTCTCCATCTTCTTGCTCTTCGTTGACATCTCCAACCTTGTTATCAACTTGTTTACCACTTCTTAAGATGTGTATTGCTTTAGCATGCTCTTGATGCCTTGGATTCACCTCTGTTTGGCTTGGGAAAGTTCCGGATGCTCTATTGCTCATGGAGGATGCAATCTGCCCAACTTGCACTTCTAGTTTGTTCACTGCATTTTGAAGATTCTGATTGATTTGCATCTATTACCCCCATGTACTTCTTGAACATGTCTTGCAATTCTCCCATTTGATCACCCCTTTGCTCTTGCACTTGTTGGGGAGCATGCTGGAATTGCCTTTGTTGTATTTGAAATCCTGGGGGAGGTCCTTGAGATTGTTGCACATTTGAGTTATTGCTCCACTTGAAATTAGGATGATTTCTCCACCCCGGATTGTACGTGTTTGAGTAAGGATCATTATTAGGATTCCTTGCTTGAAGGGCATTTGCTTGTTCTAGCATGTGCTCTGCAAAAGATTGGTCTTGAACTTCTACTTTGTTTCCTAGAGGGCCAGTCACTGCCTGTTGAAGAAAAGAG